CCGCATTCCCGCTCCCTTGCTGTGGCTCTATTCTGCTCCTAAGTGACAGTGACAGCAGCTCCTCTGGGGTGGCCCTGTGGGCTGGCAGCCTGCCACCTGTTATGGCTGCCTTTGCCTCCCTGCTATTTTAATTTTAGGGGAGCCTGGATTCCCTCTGTGAAAAGGAAGACAGAGGCTGTGGCTAAAACACCCTTTATAATAAGGAGAGAGGCCCGTGCAGCTGAGCCCAGGCTGCCGTCGTCTTATATGGCTTTCTGAGCACTGAGTGGAAATATGATGATGTGTTAAATAGGCCAATTCTCTCCCTGCCTGTGGGACCAAAACAAATGTGTTCTCGCGTTCATAATACCCAGGAAGTGCTCAAGTGCAAGGTCCCTGCCCTTGGAGCTTCCCAGAATCTTAGTATCCATGTTTTCTGCCAGTAGCAGCAGGGAACGTGGTCCTCTGGCCTTCCCAGGTCACCTATTCTGGTGTCAGAAGAGGGGAGCGCCCCTACCCAATGGAGCCTTCTCATTGGCTGCCGATGATGTCATCACCTCCTGGGTTGACCATCCCCAGCTAATAGCCAGCGCTAATTGCTTGGCTTAGTTTTATGTAGAAATTGAGTGTTTTACTCCCCAGAGACACAAGAGCCATCCTCAGGGGGAGCACTGACCTTGAATATCTAAAAATGACTCCAGCTCTGGCTGCCACGATGGCTGTTACCAGTCGGCGTGTTGGCTCCCTTTGTTACTAAGAGGCAAATCCAGGCCTGAGGACTCCATCCTCGTGAGGCTTGGAGCCCACTGCGGCTTCCTCCGCTGCAGGCTGGGAAAGCGGCTAACGTGGCCCCTCTGCCCACCCAGGTCCACCTCTGACGTCGGCAGCAAGACCAGGATGGCTGAGTCCGCCGGGCCGGAGCCGACCCAGATGCACGACAGCTCCTCCTTCGCGCAGGTGTCCAGAGGCCCCGTGTCCGTGGCACAGTTGGATCAGTCGGCTTTAAATTACTCAGGTGGGCAAGAGGAGAAAAGCCTGCAAAAAGCCCGCGCTGGACTCCAGCCCCAAATCCACACTCTACCTGCTACCTGCGGTCCTCAGGAATCCAAGTCCCTCATGCCTTCAGTCGCCCTGGCTAGAAGAGCTACTATTTCTTTAAAAGATCTGAAATCTGACAAAACATTAAGATGTGGTACAGCCGAAATATATTTTTAAAATTTTGCCAGACTTCAGGATTTTTATCATCATCATCATTACTACTACTACTATTCTTCTTCTTATTATTATTATTATTACATATTTTTAAAGCACTACAGGTACAACTACCCACCCCCATCTCCATTGGGTGTTCTACTGTGTGATATACCAAGTTTATCCTTTCCCCAAGGGAGGGACATATTGGTTATTTCCAGTTTTTTGTTATTACAAACGATGCTGACATGAACATGGAGGTCTATACATGCCCCAACTGGTTTTTTAGTTTATTCAGACCATACCTTTTTGGCTAAAACTGCAAGCACGCAGTTGCCAGCACTTGTTAAAGCGTTCACTGGGTCCAGAAATTTCACCAGTGGAATCCTTTCCCTTTGGTTTCTTTTCTTGGCTCTTTAAAAATACCTGTTCTCTTGGGAGGGAAACACCTGGACACTGATGTCAGTTCCTCTTGCCAGTAGGTCTACAGTGCTGAGGTGGGGGTGGGGGAGCTGCTGAGGGCTCAGCGAGGGGAGTTAGGCCGTCACTTCTCTAGAAACCCAGGTCTGAGTCACAGCAGATCATGCCTTCCATGCTGATGGAGCAGGTGAGCAGGGCTAGGGCTGCAGGTGGAGGTCTGCTAACCCCTTTGATCCCCTCCCCCAATGCCAGAGTCCTCCTATGTCCCAGCTTCCCCAGCTTGTGCCAGGGTCAGCCCACTGGGTGTTGACCTAACCTCCCCCATCCATCTCTTCCGTGCCAGGTAATACGGTGCCGGCCGTGTTCGCCATCCCAGCTGCCAACAGACCTGGCTTCACTGGCTACTTCATCCCAACACCTCCCTCGTCCTACAGGAATCAGGCCTGGATGTCCTATGCGGGAGAGAATGAGCTCCCAAGCCAGTGGGCTGATTCGGTGAGACCCTTGCTGATTCCCTCACAACTTTACTTGCTTGGCACGCTTTAGGGAGAACATGGAGGAGAGGTTGAGACTGGGTGTTGTATTATCTCAGCCCCCATCCACCAACCAAGTGGCGAAAGTCAGCCGTTTTAGAGCAGACAGTGTGATAAGCTGGGATGTCCTTTGACAGAGGAAGTTGGGACCTGTCTTCTAGTCCAGGTTCCACCTCTTCCTAGCGGTATCACCTTAATCAAATAAATTGTTATAACTACCATTTTGGGATATTTTCTGTGTGCCAGACACCATTTTAGATATTTTATTTATATTATTTAATCTTCACAACCATCCTATCAAGTAGCTATTATTATTACCAAGATCCATCTCATTTTGCACATAAAGAAACTGAGGCCTAATCTAAAGCCACATGGATTTTGTAAGGTGCTAAGGCCACAGTTCAAACCTGCCTCTTTAAATTTATTCCTGTTAGCTTTAAAATTCTATAAGAAATTTTGAATGAAATACCAGAAATTGAAGTATTAGAAACTCAAGACTAAATTACTCTGCACGTCTCTCCTAAGGCTTTCTGCCCGACTCCAGCTGAGGGCTGTCTTGTCATCATCCCCTGGTTTTTCCTGTCATTACTACTAGGAGTACATGGCACAGTGGACCCGGCCCAGCCCGGACCAAAGAAGGGAAGCAACCAGACGAACCTGGATATTCATACCTGTCAAGGGCTGCTCTGTGAAAACAAAACAAACAAAAAAACAACAACTCCCCCCACCCCACACCCAAGCAAACAAAAATAGCACATTGATGGCCCCCGGGGTTGGTTGCCTCAATTCCTGTGTAAGATCATCCAACATGGATTAGAAAGGGCAGGCTGCCTCTCCGGGCCCCTAGTGCTGTATGCATTTTAGGGTTTGGCCTCAGCATTTGAACTACATCCTAGATTTAGGAAGCGCATTGACGCACAAAGCCTGGGTCATCTTTTCCCTCTGTCCAAATTCCCGGAATCCATACTTTCTATCCCTACAGGTTCAACTCAACCTCAGTGTTGGTATCTATTCTTATTGCAGTGATGCCACATTTACATGACATCAGGTGTGACGTTAGCCTATGTATATTCATTTTCCTGATTACCAAAGCTTACTTCTTTAATTTCTAAAATATTTAAAAAATATATACCATCTGGCATTTTTAAAATTCTGGAATGAATTATATCCTTCCCCCTTCTTCTTTAAGAGGGGAACATAATTTGATTTGTCTTTAATAAGTGACTCAGAATCATTATTATGCCTCACTATATTAAAATGACATTTGTAAGATGGTCTCTGATGGTTTGTAGGATTATTGCCCCTATCAAATATCTCCAAAGTACTATAATTTTTGTAGTTATTACAATGGCTATTATTACACTTCTGTTTGCTGGATTCTGTTTATATTAAAAAGGTAACCAGGTAGATTCAGAGGTAGACTAAGATATTCAGCATATTCAGCGAGTCCAAATTACCTACTTTCTAAACAAACTGACTCCATATTCTGTAGCTGTACAGTGGTGCGTGGCCTCTCTTTTCTTCTGAATCTCTTTCCTTGTCCTCAGTCCCCTCCTGCTCCCAGTGTCAGGCGTGTCCTCTGACTTGAGCCCCTTCCTAATCCTAGGCCCTTCTCCTCTCTCCCAATGTCCTCTGCAGGTCCCCCTACCCGGGTACATCGAGGCTTACCCCCGGTCGCGTTATCAACAGAACTCTCCCTCCAGGCTCCCTCGCCAGTATAGCCAGCCGTCTGGCATGCACCCCAGCTTGGAGCAGGCCCCAGTGCCCTCCACAGCAGCCTCCCAGCAGAGCCTGGCAGAGAACGACCCGTCTGACACACCCCTGACCAACATCTCCACTGCGGCCCTCGTGAAGGCCATCCGGGAAGAGGTGGCCAAGCTGGCCAAGAAACAGACAGACATGTTTGAGTTCCAGGTCTAATTCCTTAGCCACAGAGGACTTCCAAACTCCGAGGAGACAGTCTTCAGGTTTCTCGAGCCTCACGTGTTGGGACTTGAGGCATAGACGGTGGGTGAGTCCTTCTCACCCTCAGTTTCTGAAAAGATGAACAGTGGAGCTTCTGGGAAATGGAGGAAACTTGAACAACTAGATTCTCAGCTTAATATTCAACTATATGTCACGAAGTCCCTACTTGGGACCATATATTTGATATTCTGTTATGTCGAATGTCTGAACTGTGGGTGTATTTCCCGATGGAGCCTTAGTCACGAGAGACACTAGTTAATCTACAGATTCCTGTTCAATGCCACATTTCAATAAATCACCAGAAAGGGGAGAACATAGCTCTGTCTTCGGTGACCTCTGCATGTTAACTCTGTTTCTGCATTAAAGGCAGTGCAGGCGTGTGATTAAGCACCAGACTGTGCTGTCTCTCATTCAGCCATGACTGTAATCATTAAAATCACCTCCAGTCTGTAAGGGAGACACTGACTCCAGCCAAGAAACTTGAGTCCTTTTCTTTTAAAGATTCATATTTGAGGTCAGAGGCATTGGATGAAAATCAGTGCTATCAATGACTGTACCTATAAGTCATCCTGATGCTTTTTCCCCCTACTAATTAAACAAAGGCCAAGAAAGAGAGAAGATGAGAGGGAATGGTCGATTTGTGTTGCCAGGTTTTGAGAAGGGGTTGTCCTTTTGGAACTGGGGTACCCTACAGGTTGGGATCTAACTGAAAGAGAAGCGGTGCTAAGAGCTTTTAGGATCCTACAAAAGAAAAACAATCATTGGGGGAGCTTTTTCTTTGCCTGGCAATGAAGGTGGCCTGAGAATGAAGCTTCTGTCTTGGGGGGCATAATAGATACATTGACTTTTACGAGACCATCTCTGTATCTTCAGCAATGATGTCCAGCCTGTGCTGCTGAATGTTACAAAAGGAAATAATGACGATGCCTGCTA